CGCTCTGCGATGCCCAAGCCTGAGGGAGAGTCCTGGAGGACCCGAAAGCTCGCCTATTGATGATATATGTATACTGGTGGCTCCGCAAAAAGGCATCACTCGCCCCTGGCCGCCGCCTGTGTTTGGATTTGGCACGTGGACCCCCAGGGCCGGGCTTCCTCTTTCTTTCCTCAGTTCGCAATGTCGGGGTAAGGCGCTCCCCCCCGCCCCGTATTCGGAGCACGGGGCTGTGGCCCCAGATCCACACGACCTCCACGGAGTGCTCGACATGGGTGGCGAGATCCGCGCGGGACTTACTCTGCTAGGCGGTCCGCGCCTGCCTCGCCATCTCCTCGAGGGCCGCTTCCTTCCTTCTTCGCGCCGGCGAGGCGCCCACGGAGAATCCACGCGGGGGTCCCACTCACCCGCGCGCGCGCCTTCCTGCCCGCCTCAGCCCGGTCCGGACGGCGAGGGATGCCACCCCGCGGACTTGGCCACCCAGCCGCCCGGGCACGAGGAAGCCGCCGCCGCTCCCCTCGACAGGCAGGGCGCGCTCCTTCCCGCCTCGCCCTGCTGGCCTTCCTCTCCTCCTTCCCGCTGGCGGCGATGCCGGGAAGGAAACTGCCGGATCCTCAGCCCACAATGGGAACAGCGGGCGGCGGCGGCGGCATCCTGAACAAAGTGCCGATCCCCGGGCGGGAGGGGCGGTCACGTGGCCCTCCTCTCGCCCCTCCGCTCTTGCTGGTGTTGCCGCGGTGGCTGGAAAGCAGGCTGTCAGGCTGTTGTGACGCGCCAGACGCCCGCACACGCGCGGGTTCCAACTGTTTAATTGCTTTAATCTTTTCATCTCTCTCTCTCTCTTTCTCTCTCTCTCCTTGCTTGATGCTGCCTGCCTTCAGCCCTCTCGGGGGCGGGGCGGGGAAGACAGGCAGCAAATCTGTTGATGGCAAGCTTGGACTTTCTTTTCAAGGGGCTGGTGGTGGTGCTAGTGGTGGTGGGGGGAGAGAAAGAAGGGAGGAAAGCGAGGGAGGCGACGAACCGGCCAAGCCTTTCGTCCCGGGCGGTCCTGACAGCTCCCCGTCCGGTCCACGCCAGGACCCTCCCGTCCAGGACCGACTTCAAGCCACCGCTCGCTTGCCTGCCTGCCTGCCTGCCTGCCCTCTTCCCGATCCGTCGCGGCGAGAGGGAGTGGAGCGGCAGGCGCTCGCCCTTCCAGCTGCTGGCTGCCTTCAGCGAATGACAACAATGGTCCTGCCGGGAGGGAGGCAGGGAGGGAGGGGAGGGGCGGCCGGGCGGGCGCGGTGGGCTCGGCGGCGAGGTCAGATTTCCAGCTGATGGGGACGGACGGCCACGCACGCCCTGCCCCGCAGCCGCCGCCCGGCTTGAAGTGGGGACGCCGGCTGGGCAGGGGCTTATATTTGGGCTCCCGGTTTTGCGAATGGTGAGCGAGAGCACTCCCTTCCTTCCAACCACCACATCATTTCCTTCGGTCGGTGATTGTGCGCTGCTGGATCCATTTCATCGCGGGAGGGGGGAGGCGGAGAGGAAGCGGAATACCACGCCGTGGAGGGGTCAGCTTTGTTTCGAGGAGGAGGAGGAGGAGGAGGAGGCTCTGAGACTCCTCCACGCCCCCCCCTTCATCTCCTCTCCTTTTCTTTTTTTCCCCCCACCAAGGGGAGGGTGCCTGATACGCGTTTCGCCACGTCTCTCCTTCCCTGCTTCGAAACCTAAAGGTAGCTGAGCTAATTTTGCCGAGAAGTGGCATTGACAGGGCGGCGGCGGCGGTCCAAACTGAGTCTGCGGATAAAGTTCTCCGAGAGGAAAGAGAGGAACCCGCAGTCGTCTGAAGGGGACCAGCCGAAGACTGTTCCTCCAGGTTTCGTGAGCCCTGAGGGCGAGAGACTCCGCCCGTCCACCCACCCAGCTTGTTGGCTGGCAGGATGACTTCCTATAGCCGTGCAACGGGCGAATCGACAGCTGAAGAAACCGCATCGATCGAAAGGTGGCTTCAGGTGGCGTCATTTACACGTGCGAAAGCACCGTATATGAAAGGTTGTGAAGTAAACGATCAATCGATCTATCACGGATCCTGAGGGCACTATGAGAAGAAGTCCCCCGTCAGTCGCTCCGCGGTGGCACCCTTGAGCCGGGTCGGATTACAACTCTCGCTACCCCGGTCAGTGTGACTGTTAGCTGGGAGTTCCAAGTCCATCTCCCATCTGGATGGTAACACGTGGGGAAAGGAAGGCTGGTATGGAAGTACATAGCCTCCAAATTAGAGTGGCTAGAGTCCAGTCAAAATTAAGCATTTTTGTGTTCCGTGGATTTCAGCCTTTCCGAATGAAATAACAAAAGACCTGCATCTTTAGCTGGATCATCTCCCAATCCTTATTTCGCCCCCCTCCCCGCCACAGGAGACAAAGGGACTATGACACTGTGTACATTGTGTAAGGATTGCCCTTCTATGCAACAACACTGTAACAATTACTGTCTTGTCTACAGAAACAACAGCTTTTCTCCAGCAGCAAAATGCTGCTATTTTAAGAAGAAAAACATTCCACAACCTCAAATGCAACCTTGAAAAAAAATGCCCTATAGTAAAAATCAAAGATGATGATCTTGTTTGCAAACAAAGGACTGTTAGGGAAAACCATTTAAAAATCAGAGGAAAGAACCATGTCAAAAAAAATCCCAATGACTCTACTCTCTTCCCGTGATCAAGGAACACAATCTACCAAGGATTTATGCTGGCAAAGCCTCTCTTGAATGAACAGGGAGAAGAACACAGTACTGCTCTTCTATAGGGACCTTTGGTTAGATGGAGGATGGCTGCCTAGTATTGTTGCCTGGCCATCCTAATGGCCTTTCTAGATTATCCATCAATTTGCAAAATTGATCTCTTGATTTTTTTTAAAATAAAACACAATGTATCCCAGATGTCTGTTTTTCAGACTGTGCTTTTCTTAACAGATTCGGCTTTTCCTTCGCTAATTTAGCAGCAGTTTTCTTATAGGGATTGTTGCTCATTTTCAGAGCACATATTTTGCATGCATGAAGTCCAAGTTTCAGATTCATCCTATCTCCAGAGAACAAATAGTCAGTGACTGGGAAAACCTTTCTTGACCTGAAAACCCTGGAGAATTATTGTCAGCCAGACAAGATCGTACTGGGCTAAAGGGATGAACAGTCTGATCTGCCATAAAGTTGCAGTGTTACTGTGGAAATCCTATTATTCTCCCATATCCGCCCTTGTGCACTGCAGTATTTCTTGGCTCTGAATAGTTTCTGTGGAGACAACTCATCTCCTGACAGAAACCTTCCTTCAGCCCTAGGTCAGGCCAGTTCATGTGCCACTGCAATGATTAAGGTTATCTCTCAAGGTTAGCACCACAGTTAAATCATCTAATGCAAATCTTTGCCACATTCACAGCGCTAGCTCTAGTTCCAGAATTTTCCTGAACTGGATAAATCCACGGGCTATCGTTAAAGTTGGAATAGTTCAGAACAAGATGATCATTTTGCTAAGCTCCTCTAGTCACTAAGCAGCCAGGATTTCAGGCAGACAAAAGGCCCTAGTGAGACTGGTTTGAAACAATACACAGAGAAACCACAGAATACATAATAAAAAGGAACCTGGCAGATTGCCTCTATCAAGCAGCAGTAACAAAATGTAACATGTGAAATAACCTACCAGCCATTTGATGTGTGCCTGAGGGCACAATTTTAGATGCACATTAGGTGGGCTAGCACACCTATGTGCTTTTGAACTAAGAATGACCTGAACTCAATAAGCAAAGACAGGCTGCAGCTGCGTTTTTACCTATCCCTCCTGAGTCATTGAAGGATGGGAAGGATGGTTGCATCAAAGCACTCTGACAACATTGCTGGCAGCTGAGATGATAGGGCAATCCTCAGCATCATCAGAATTTCAGAGTTGCTTCCCATCCTTCTTCTTCTGCAGATAGCTGTGGTTCCCTCCACCCTTCAGAGAAGTCCTAGCTAACACCCAGCCAGCAAATGTTAGGGGTAATTACAGCTGTAACCCAAAACATATGGAGTTCAACAGGTTGTCTATACTTGATTGTAATTTATAGGACTGATTAAGTTCACAGAAATAGTAGACTTTTTTAAAAAAAAAATGCCTACTAGAAGCATAATTGCCCTGGGGTAAATTGAGGGGCAATGGGCACTTCAGATGGAAGCTGAGCAACTGTTTAAGATATCTAAGTTACTCTCCAGGTAGTGACCATCCCTGGTATATTACTTGGAAGCCCCACCCTTCTGTGCATCCTTTTACATTTCTTTTGGAGAGAAGTTGGGTTTATCATCTTATTCCAAGTTTTTTTATATAGTTTGGAGATTTAATTGGCTTAGGGTTACAGGATGCCTCTCAATTGGGGACAGCTTTTCTCCAAACTAACATGTATGCTGAGCAGCCCAGTCCAGTCTTATAGATGTTGTTTACTCCAAAGGGAGTTCTACTCATCTACTGTGCCGAATGGGGCTAGTACTTAGGGTACTCTAACTACTGGGGTTTACACTCAAATAAAAAGTGCAGCCATAGTATCTCCTGCATGTTTCATCCTTGCTGTATATTAGTGGAGAGCTTCTAAACCAGGGATGGGAAGTCAAGCCCCATCAGAACGAATGACCAGCGGTCATGGGTAATGGAAGTTGGAATCCAACAGAGTCTGAAGCATGATAATTTTCAGAGTCCCAAACTAAAGTCAATATTGTTTATTTATCTGTGCCCCAACCTTTATTACACATTACAATCCTAATAGGGTCACTATAGGTTGGAAATAACTTGATGGCACAACAACAACAATATGAACACACTTAGGCCAAAACTATTAAGGTTAACCTGTTATTAGAAGCTGAGTATCCTAGAGTGATAAAAACATATCTGATTGTCCTAACATGAGCTTGTCTCATTTAGCAAATTAGTTTATTTTGTGACTGGTCACCAACAGGTAATCTTCATTTAGCAAATTAGTTTATTTTTGTGTTGCTTTTGTGTTGCATATTGGCTTATTTTTGTGTTGTGATTGCTCATCAGCAGGTAAACACAAGCTTCATTTTTAAGTCTGATTGTGGGTTGAAGGAACTGCACATCTGCGGCTTATTTTTGTGTTGTGATTGCTCATCAACAGGTAAACACAAGCTTCATTTTTAAGTCCAATTGTGGGTTGAAGGAACTGCACATCTGGAGGGAAAAATTATAATAGTAGTAAATAGACATTTATTTTAATGTGTAATTTGACCCTTGATCAGCCATGCTTGGAAATAACTCTGTTCAAGTATACCAGCTAAGTCCAAGTACACCCAGTATGTTAGGTGAATAGCTAATAGCCATGCGGGCTGGAAGTAATACGAGTTGTACTTGTACACATCGGCAGGGCAGCAGGCTCAGGAGTTGAACTACAGTATTTCAGTTAAATTAAATAAGCAGCAACTCTGCCAGTCAACAAAAAGTTGTCCACTCATCTTACTTCATGATCAATCTCTATAGCATATCTCTTCCTTGAAATAAAGGGAACAAAAGCTTTGACTTGAACGAAGAAGGTTGAGCAGTGCCTCTTTAAAAAGCCTGCTTCCTCCCCGATAACAGGCTCATGTCACAAGACTCACAACTGTTCTCAGAGGCATTCATTTGAGCACCCCCCATCAGAAGTGAGCCT